GTTCTGCTTGTTTGCTTTGTTTTTTAGAGTCAATTGTTGATAGATATGTATTTACCGCCATTTTATTATTCATAGTTTTGATCTTTTTCTTATATAGTTCCCACTAACATTTTATATAATGATGGCTTGGTGCTGATCAATTCCTTTAGTTTTACCTTGTCTGGGAAGCACTTTATCTGCCCTTCAATTCTAAGGGTAGATAGCTTTGGATAGAGTAATCTAGGTTGTATATCCTTGCTTATTATCACTTTGAATACTTCTTGCCAGTCCCTTCTAGCCTGCAAAGTTTCTTTTGAGAAATCAGCTGACAGTCTTATGGGAACTCCTTTGTAGGTAACTCTGCTTTTCTATTGCTGTTTTTAAGATTCTCTCTTTATCTTTAAACTTTAGCGTTTAAATTATAATGTGTCTTGGTGTGGTCCCTCTTTGGGTCCAAATTGTTTGGGATTGTCTGTTCTTCCTGGACTTGTATGTGTATTTCCTTCACAAAATTTAGGAAGTTTTCTTTCATTACTTTTTCAAATAAGTTTTCAATTTCTTGCTCTTCCTCTTATCCTTCTGGCACCCCTATGATTCAGATGTTGGTATGTCTGCAGATGTCCCAGAGGCTCCTTATTCTCTCTTTTAAAAATATATTTTATTGATTATGCTATTACAGTTGTTCTGTTTCTCCCCCTTCATTCCCCTCCACCCTGTACACCCCCTCCCACCCACATTCCCTGCCTTTAGTCCATGTCCATGTGTCATAAATTCTTCAGCTTCTACATTTCTCCTACTATGCTTGCCCTTCCCTGTCTATTTTCTACCTACCATCTATGCTACTTATTCTCTGTACCTTTCCCCCCTCTCTCCTCCTTCCACTCCCCTGTTGTTAACCCTCCATGTGATCTCCATTTCTGTGGTTCTGTTTCTGTCCTAGTTGTTTGCTTAGTTTGTTTTTGTTTTTGTTTTAGGTGTGGTTGTTAATAACTGTGAGTTTACTGTCATTTTATTGTACATGTTTTTTATCTTCTTTTTCTTATATAAGTCCCTTTAACATTTCATAAAAGAAGGGCTTGGTGATGATGAACTCCTTTAACTTGACCTTATCTGAGAAGCATTTTATCTGCCCTTCCATTCTAAATGAAAGCTTTGCTGGATAGAGCAATCTTGGATGTAGGGCCTTACCTTTCATGACTTGGAATACTTCTTTCCAGCCCCTTCTTGCCTGCAAGGTCTCTTTTGAGAAATCAGCTGACAGTCTGATAGGAACTCCTTTGTAGGTAAGTGTCTCCTTTTCTCCTGCTGCTTCTAGGATTCTCTCCTTCATTTTAATCTTGGGTAATGTAATTATGATGTGCCTTGGTGTGTTCCTCCTTGGGTCCAACTTCTTTGGGACTCTCTAAGCTTCCTGGATTTCTTGGGAGTGTATTTCCTTTGCCAGATGGGGGAAGTTCTCCTTTATTATTTGTTTAAATAACTTTTCCACTTATTGCTCTTCCTCTTCCCCTTCTGGTACCCCTATAATTCAGATGTCCTGAAGGTTCCTAAGCCTCTCCTCATTTTTTGGAATTCTTGTTTCTTCATTCTTTTCTGTTTGGTTTTTTCTTTCTTCTTTCTGGTCCACTCCATTGATTTGAGTCCCAGTTTTCTTCCCATCATTATTGGTTCCCTGTGCATTTTCCTGCATTTCACTTAGCATAGCCTTCATTTTTTCATCTAATTTGTGACCAAATTTAACCAATTCTGTGAGCATCCTGATCACCAGTGCTTTGAACTGTGCATCTGATAGGCTGGCTATCTCTTGGTTGCTTAGTTGTATTTGCTGTGAAGCTTTGGTCTGTTCTTCTGCTTGGGCCATTTTTTTTAATGTCTTGTTGCACTTGTTACGTATGAGGGGCAGAGCCTTAGGTGTTCACCAGGGCGGGGCAACCCTGTAACTGAGTTGTGACATTTATGTGGGGGTGGGGTTTGAGAGGGAACGAAGGCACTTGCTCTGCTCTCTGTCAGATTTCAGTCACTTCCCCTGCTTCCCCCAAACAAATTGGGCCCTTCTGGTGCTGATTCCCATGTGGGTGGGTTTGTATATGTTCTAGGACCCTGTGAGTCTCTCTAATGAACTCTCCTGTGAGGCTGGGAGTCTCTCCTGGCACCTCAGCCCTCACAGATGTTTTCAACTGGTGTTTCAGGGCCTTATTTCCCAGTGCTGGGACCCTGGGTTGCGCAGTCTGTATCACTCCCCAATTTTGCCTGGTTTATCTGTGTGCGAATGTGGGACCTCATGGTTAGCCAGCCACCTTATGCACTGCACCCTGCTCCACAATTGCCACCTCGCTGGGTCTTCTTGCTGCCACCCCACCTCTGGGGTCTGCCAGCCGCCGCCTGCGTGCCCAGGGTCTACCTGCTGCGGTCTTGTGGGCCCAGGGTGCTTTGCGTGCCTGGTGCCACTGCTCTTTTTGCGGTGACCCCTCTCTGCCCAGCTGTCAACTCCACCCCTCCTACCTGTCTGGATGAATATGTCTATTTTAACTCCTTGGTTGTTGGACTTCCATACAGTTCAATTTTCTATCAGTTCTGGTTGTTATTTTATTTCTAAATTGTTGTTGTTCTTATTTTGGTTGTATGGGGAGGCACAATGTGTCTAGCTATGACTCCATCTTGGCTGGAAGAGGCTCCTTATTCGTATTCTCCTTTTTTAAAATTCCTTTTCTTTCTCTTGATATTCTAATTGAATGCTTTTTTCTTCCTTGTTAGTACCCTGTAGATTTTTCTTTATTTCACTTAATGCAAACTTCATTTCTGCCTGGGTCTTTTTTATGCTGTTGCAGTGCCCAATAATTTCTTTGAGTATTCTGATAACTAGTGGTTTGAACTCTGCATCTAATAAGATGCTTATTTCCATTTTATTTAGTTCTTTTCCTGGAGTTTTGTTATGTGTTTTCATTTGGGCTTTGTCTCCTCAATTTGGCAGCCTCCCTGTGTTTCTGTGCATTATGTAGAGCTGCTTTGACTCCCTGTCTTAGTAGCATGGCCTATTGCAGAAAAGGCACCAGTATATTGTGTGGGGCAGAGCCTTAGGTAATTGCCAGTGCTGGGCAACCTCTTTCATTGCCTTTTGGCTCTGTGTGGAGGAGTGCTCAGAGAGGGGACAGTGCCACTGCCTGGCTTCTGGAGATTGCCTGGGAGGAAGCTGTCTCCCAGTACTTGCCCTGTTGCCAGTTGCCTCACTTTCTCCCCTTCCCCCATGTATGCCACCTGTGCCCTTCCAGCTGTTGCTCTGGTGCTGAACCCCAGAGGGGTTGGGTTTCTGTGAGTCCTAAATCTGTTGTGGGCTTTTTAAGAGGAGTCTCTTTAGAATTCCAGCTTCTTCCACCTCCCCAAACCCCACCGATTTTTACAGCCAGAAGTTATGGGGATTTATCTTCCCGGCACTGGAACCCTGGTCTGGGGCTGGGATCACTTGCTTCCGAGGTATCCCTCCCAATTTTTATCTGCAACATGTGAATGTGGGACCACCTGTTCTGTTGCCTCTCTGCATCTCTCTGTGCCTGTCCATGTCTCCACCCCTCCTACCTGTCTGGATGATTGTGGCTTCTTTAAATCCTTGGTTGTCCAACTTCCATTCAGCTTGATTTTCAGACAAATCTGGGTGGTATTTTTTTGTAGTCATTGTAATTTTTGCTGTAGTTGTGCATGGAAACAAAGTGTGTTTACTTATACCTTTGTCTTGACTAGAAATTGGTCGCTTCTTGTGTGTACCCTGACCAGAGATCGAACCCGTGACCTTGGCATGTTAGGATGACTACCTCTTTCTTTAATTAGAAAACTCTGTAATTAAATGATCCATGTTGGTTACTCATTTTCTTTATACCTTTAGCCATCTGGTGCCTCTTAGCAAAACTTTTCTCTTTTAACTTAGTAATGAGCTTATTCTGGCCAAATTTGCGGATGTTTTAAAAGCAAATTAATTGACTTTGAAGTCAATTTGATTTCATTTCCTAGTTATACTGTCTTCAAATTCTCTCTCTCTCTTTTTAATTTTAATTGTTGTTGCAGTACAATTTTCTATCTTTTACTCCCATCCCAACCCACCCACCCAGCCCTCCCCTCCTCCCTCCCATTTCCACCCGCCCCTAGTTTTTATCCATGTGTCCTTTATACTTGTTCCTGTAAACCCTTCCCCCTTTCCCCTGAAATTACCCTTTTATCCCTGACTGAAGTCATCATGCTGCACTTCTATCCCCAACATTATAACAAAACTTCTCCGGCCAACCACTCCAAGGACTTCCAGGTTGCTAAATCCTATGGACAATTCCAGTCCTCTTCTTTCTCACCTTCTCAGCAGTATCTGACACTTTTGATCATGTCTCCTTTGAAACACTTTCTTCACTTGGGTTAGCAGAACTCCACACTCCTGGTTTTTCTGTAACTACAGTCCTTCTCAGCTTCCTCTGCTGCTCCCTCCTTTTCTCCTATACCTTTTAAATTTGGAGGCTCCCATGACTCAGCTTTTGAACTTCTTATTTTGTATCTCCAATCTCTTCCTGATGATCATCTTTCTGTCTTACCACTTTAGATATTATCTCTATATTGACGTCCCTAAATTTATAGCTATAGACTGGACTGAGATGTTGACCTCTGGATTCCTATGTGCAATTATTTTTTTTCCAAAATCTCCACTTGCTTTTACAATGGAAATATCAATCTGTTCTGTTAGAAACCGGGCTACTGGTATTTTCTTGTTAACTTACTCAAGAAATGTCAAGTCCATTCTTCCACACCTGATGCTTTGGAATAATGCTCACAAAGTATATGTAATAAATCAGAAAATACCATCAGTTCTGCCTTCCATATGTACCCAGAATCCAAACACTTTTTATCACCTATAGTGCTGGACCACCACATTTTCGTTCTGGCTAATACACTGTTACTGTTCACCTAGATTGCTCCAGTCCCCCAACTGTGATCCCTTTGCTAATGCTTAATCTCTTCAGCACTGACAAAAGATTCTCCAGCCATACCTTTGGCCTTCTCTCCAGAGCATGCTTTCATAACAGGGAATATCCTAATTTTAGCATCTCTTGCAATATGGACCACCTGGGAGTATCCCAAATCAAGTCCTGGGTCCATTTTGGTTAAAAATTCTTTCCTCAAGTTATCTTTTTCTTCTAGCACTATAGTGTAAGTGGCAAGGAGAAACCAGGCTGTGTCTTAAGTGCCTTGCTTGGAAATCTCCTCAGATAAATATTCAAATTCATCACTTACAAGTGCTGTTTCTTGCACAGTGCTTGGTCACAATTCATTGAAGCTCTCTGCCACTGTATTACAAGGATTGCCTTTCTTCCATTTTCCAATGGTATGTTTCTTATTTCTTTCTGAGCCCCTGAGCAGCACCTGTGATGTTCATATTTCTACCAATATTCAGTTTATGGCAATATATATATTCTCCAAGGTGATATAGGCTTCCTCTATCATACTTCTTACTTCTTTCTGAACTCTTACCAGCATTGTTTTCAATGTTCATATTTCTACCAATCATCTGTTTAAAGAAATCTAGACTTTATTAGGTGCCTCAAAATTCTTTCAGCCTTTGTCCATTGCCAGTTCCAAAGCCACGTCTGCATTGTTAGGTACTTTTACAGCAGCACCCCACTTCTTGATACCAAAATCTGTGTTGCTTTCCTGTGGTTGCCATAATAAATTATCACAAACTTGGTGGCTTTAAATGGCAGAAATTTATTTCTTGTAGTCCTGGTGGCCAGAAAGCCAGAAATTGATATTGCTGAGTCAAAATCAAGGGGTCAGCAGGGCTGCGCCCACTTTGGAGGGACTAGGAGAGAGTGCTTTTCTTGTCTCTTCCAGCATACAGTGGGCACCAGCATTCCTTAGCTTGTGGCTGCATTACTACAGTCCTCAAGGCTGGGATCTTCAAATCCCTCTCTGCTTTATTTTAACATTGCTTTCTCCTCTCTGTGTGTAAGATCTCCCTCTGTCTTTCTTTTCTTTTGGGTAAGGCCAGTTAGCAAACAGAGATGATCTATGATATTCTCCAACCCAGCTTTCAAAAACTCTTCTGCCCATTGTTTCAGTGGAGCTGAGTTCATACTGGTCTTTCTTCCCTATTGCAATAGCCTTGAATAAAGTCTTCCTTACCTGTTTAATTTTGGTGGTGCAATTTTTGCTTTGACAATGGTTTACCCTTTAATCATCTATTACCCTTTAATCATCTCCATCAACACTCTCCAACATGAATGTAAAAGTGTTATTACTTTTAGAGAAAATTATTAAGTAACTCTTCATTTTTAGTCCTACTAAATTATAGCATGTTTATACTTAGAAAAGCATGAGAGAGTGTGAACGAGACTCTTGATGTCCTCTTGCTGGATTTGTCCTCTTTTATCATCTCATTTTTAAAAATTCTCCAATCAATACCATAGTTATGCTTATATATTTCCCTCATTTGAAGTTGTTAGATGATAATTGAAAAATATTTTATTTCACTCATGAATTAATGAGGGAATTAAATAGATGTAGATGTTTAACAGGTTCAAAAGAAAATCCTAGCTTCTCCACTGTAGGGAAAGGAGGTCAAGTGAGTTTTTGGACAGGGAAGATTTGTATTTCTATGGATAAAAATTATTTGTCATTGCTATCAGTTATCTATAATTTACAGAGATGTAACGTAGCTGCCATAGAGTCATAAACCAGTAACAGGGAGAAATGTTATAAACAATACATTGTTTTCCTTTGAAGCACAATTTTCTCCCTAGAGAACCTTGATTCACTTTTTACTACTGACACAGAGTTGCAGGATGAAAGTGTTAGAGGCCATAAGAATTTCTCAGGGTTTAGATAACTGTTTTATTCATAATAAGAAAAGAATATAAGGTTAGAGTATTTTCAATAGAAGCAATCAATGAGCCTGAGAAAGGATTTACTGAAAGGACTGTTACATTAAATAATGAAGTTCAGAATCTCAAGATGGAAGGAGCTTCAGCTTTTGTGCTGCTGATGGGTAAGGTGGGAGAAAATGTCAATTTGACCAGAGTACAAAAGATTTTTAAAATTTGAAATAGAATTGGCCTGATGGATAACCTGTGAGTCCTTTGAACCTCTGAAGTATGATTCTGCTAAGGACAAAGATAACTGAGCCAGACAGCCCTGGATGAATCTGTAAGAGCTTGGGCAGGAGGCTTGCTCAAAAGGGAAATTCAGTGGCCATGACATGAAAGGGTGTTAAACTGCCTGGTGGGTTCATCGTGACCCCGAAAGTCCTCAATGCCAAGTTTAATCAGCCCTGAATGATCTTTGCTCTCAATGTGGTGTGTGGCGTCTTGTGGCATACAGTATTGTTAAATGTCCTCACATTTTAGGGACAATAGGAACAATATGCAAATTAACCATGGGTAATGTTCCTGGCAATGTACAATTATGGGCATTTAAAATTTTTAGATGCAAATTAAACCTAAAATTCCTTGTAAATGGTGCCAATTTGCCTCCAAATAACATGTTGCAGATATAGAATAATTTACCATAAATGCCTGTACCAACAACAGTAGCTGGCACATATATAGATTCTATTCTATAAGTATGTGTGATATTGACTGACTGGAAAAACATCCAAGAAGAGTTTCCATTTTTCTATGTTAAAAAAATTTAATACTCAGTTATTGAAATACAAGTGGCCGATTTCAAGCAGAGTGGTGGTGTGGCACTGTGCTACTAATATGCATGCTAACTATACTTTGATTTTCCTTACTGTTCCTATATAGTAATGATACTTAAATCCTCTCCTTACTCCCGGGGCACCAAAACAGAATCCAGGAACACATTGGCAGTGTCAGTGTAAATAAACATACAGACTTCAAGAAAACAATCCAGCCTCGGGAAATCTTTTTGCACATTGGAGATGAAAGGTTACCTAGAACCTCATTGTCTCTTCATGTGTTTGTAGTTATTCATTATATGTATAACGTGTCTTGCTTGCCAAGTAACAGGCTTATTGAGTTGAACAATATGGAAATAAAGTGTAGTGACTTCTTTGATTACATTAGCAGTTTATTAACTACTTCCCGTATAAATTTTGAGGGTGTTCAGTACAGGGGTTCCAAAGTTGATACTCAGCCGTACTTCTGCTCCTCCTCCTTTTCCTTTTTTTGCATGTCAGTAGCTGGTGAAAAGCTGAATGGGAGACAACACAATATACAATACTAAAAAAGAACACCCCAAGCTGAAGGCAATGTGAAATATTGAAAGGAAATATTTTAAACATGCAAAAGGTGATTTATCTGAATTTGAACCAAAATGAATAAACAAATTCTTTAGAAAAGAGGGATGTATGAAGGTGCATTTTGAACACAAGGCTAGAAAATTATGTATCAAATTCTGCTCATGGTCTTCTCTGGGTGGTAACTTTTGTTTTCTTTTAAATAATTTATTGTGCCCTGGCTGGCATAGCTCAGTGGATTGAGCGCAGGCTGGGAACCAAAGTGTCGCAGGTTCGATTCCCAGCCAGGGTACATTCCTGGGTTGCAGGCCAGAACCCCCAGCAACTGCACATTGATGTTTCTCTCTCTCTCTCTCTCTTTCTCTCTCGCTCCCTCCCTTCCCTCTCTAAAAATAAATAAATAAAATCTTTAAAAATAATAATTTATTGTAATTTACTTTAAAAATTACTAAAAAACCTTTTATTTTTGTTAATATGGACATTTGTTATTTCTATAATGAGGAACAAATAGCTATTCATTTATGTATAATATAGAATATGTCTATATAACTGAAATATGTATGCAGATACAGTCATGTGTGTACTTGTATATATACTCTCTCCATCTGTTAATAAGCATTTAGTTTGACTTAAATATATTCTGTTTAGAGTAAACATTAATAGAATGAAGAAACACTATGTTATTATTTGGTATACAAGTTATTTTTCACTTATTCAAATATGTACTTTCAGATAGTCATCAAAATTTTTACTTTCATAAAGCATGCATTCTACTTTAATTTATTCATAAGCAATACAAAATTCTTGAACATTTTCTAAATAAGTAATCTATTGACTTATGTCATCTTAGAAGAAAACAGTGATACTTCTCTCATATACTCAATTATTTTCTTTTATTTTTAAAAATTTTTGTTAGTTTATTTTGTTCATTAGATTCCACATATGAGTGAAATCATGTGGATCTTCTCTTTCTCTGACTGTCTTTTTTCACTTAGCGTAATACTCTCCAGGTCCATTCATACTGTTGCAAAGGGTAAGATTTCCTTCCTTTAAAAAAAAAATCCTCACCTGAGGATATGTTTGTTGATTGTAGAGGGAGAAGAATGGAAAGAGAAAAGAGAGAAATATCCAACTCATTGCCTCCCATATGTGCCCTGACTGGGGATTGAACCCGCAACATTTTGGTGTAGAGGACAATGCTCCAACCAGCTGAGCCACCTGGCTGGGGCAAGATTTCCTTCTTTTTTGTGGTTGTCAGTGTTCCATTGTATAAGTATACCACAGCTTTTTTATCCACTTATCTACTGATGAGCACTTGGGCTGCTTCCAAATCTTGGCTATTGTAGATAATGCTGCAGTGAACATAGGAGTGCATGTATTCTTTCAAATTACTGTTTTGGGTTTCTTCAGATATATTCCCAGAAGTGGAATTGCTGGGTCATAAGGCAGTTCCATTTTCTATTATTTTTGATTTTCGTTAATCATACTCCCATCTAGATCATTTGGAACTTATCATTTAACTGCTATTTTAAAATTAAATTCATTGCATGTTTTCTCAAAATTTTTATAAGGTTGGTACATATCTCAGCTTTGTGCCTCTTTAGCTTTTGCTAGAAAATATAAGAGGATGATGGCAAGGACAGTTGGTCTGTTTATTATAGGACCTTTAGGAAAGCACATCATGAAAGGTAGGAAAAACAGCAATCTGAGCTCTGGTTTCTAAGCCAAACTTCATTCTGTCAGACAGAAAGCCCCTGTGCACAGCAAGAAATATATCTGATGAATCAGTGGTGGAGCTGAAATGTGACTTATATAGATCAACTCCTTGAGGCAGCTCTTTATTAGCCTTCCTGTTTAGTAGTGGCAATATGGGACGCCTATACTCAATGACTCATCCTAAATA